TATGCGGTAAATACAGGAAGAAGGTCCCATGTCTTGGGCTATGCGGTAAATACAGGAAGAAGGTCCCATGTCTTGGGCTATGCGGTAAATACAGGAAGAAGGTCCCATTTCTTGGGCTATGCAGCTGAGCATCTCTCACTTTTATGTATTGTTGCCTCAGCTTTTTACTTTCACTTGGCACTGTTCAGTCGACCAGCCAAAACCTCTCTCCTTCCACTGTTGATTGAACATTTTGAAAACTTCAGAGTTTTTATGAGTTGTTTTTAAGAGCTGATAGATGTAATAATCTGCCCAGATTTCAAGAAGCCAACATACCTTGCTGCTAGACCAAGTTAGACCTTGGTTCATTTGTCCTTCTCCGCCTAGCTGCTGCTGCTACTGGTTTGCATACTCTGCCGTATCCCAGAATTCAAAGCCCACCTGGCTACATGAGCCATTTAGCTCAGTACACCTGGAAGTTGGGTCGGATTGAAGACAGATTTCACACCACAAATGAACCACTTCAAAGTTAGTTTCGGACTGGACCAAGACCACCACCTCTCAAAGGTCGCGGTTCAGTTGTTTTAGTCTGCTCACACCTACTGAAACGAATTGCACCAAAGAGGGGATTGAACCAAAATCTGTTTTAACCAGACTGAAAAGTATTGGTGTGAAAACACCCTTAAAGTGGACCAACAGGAAACGGACTTGCTTCTTTTTGCATTCACATTGTGAGTTCATTTGAAAGAGGACTCAGTTCTCTTTCTGGTTCACCTCAGCTCTGATGGGGCCTCAGTCCTTTTTCTGTTCACAGAATATAGAGAACCAGCAGCCGTGGTTCTCTATATTTGTTTTTTGAGTGTCCCAGTGCAGTAGCATGTTATCTCTCTATGGTAAGTTTGAGGGCAAGAAATACAATGGCAAAGGGCAAAGGCAACATGGAGCTCTTTGTGTACATGGGTTAAATGAACCACAATGCAGACTATAAGCTCCCGAGGTTGTATAACTTCAGTTTGATTTATTGGGCTCTGAGTTCATTTTCAGTGTTCACATATGTGCCAAAAATGTTGATTAATTGCACTGGGTTGATTTTGAGGGCTGAAAAGGACCAAGTGTGAAAACGCCCTAATGGTAATGATGCACAGGGCAACTTTTTGAGCCAATCGCCAACCAGGTGTGAATCTGGATCTGGATGATTGCCAAAAGTTGTCCATTGCAAATTAAAGTTTTTAAAATAGACATTTGTTGCCCAATATCAATGGGAAAGTGCCCAAGGAACATGGCTTCCCCTGTGTATCATCACTCTTACACTCACTCTCTCGTTTGTTTTATGGCCGCAGCCCCGCATGTGGCGCCAAAGCTCGCCGCGATCCTGACCACCAATGCCAACGACAAGGGGAGTTCAGATGATACCTTGGCAACCGTGTGCCGCACCTTCCACACTCTGCTGCTGGCAGAGCCAGAGCTGACCAAGAAGGTGGTTAACGGAGACCTGGTCAGCTCGCTAAACGACCTCAGCCGCAAGGGGTGAGCACCGTCGAACATCACCACGCTGTTATGGTTTAATCACCTTGCCCCTGCACAGTTCGTAACCATCCCTTCTTAGAAACCCTGCACTGTCAGCTCCGATGGGGACTTCAGCATTCACCATATGTGGCGGAGAAAGCCCATGACTCGTCGCTAAAGCTAGCTTAGCTTTCGGCTTTTTGGATTTGCTCCAAAAATGCTTACTTATTACTCGACAAAACAACTTTTTTTTTCCTACGGCAACCAATGAGTCATCTCTCATCTCAAACATCCTGATATGAATCGTATGTCAGAGATAATGCTCTGCAGCTCTCTGCGAGTGGGGGAGGGGGCATAGTGAAGGCCTTGCGGGTTTTATCATCCCTCCCACCCCCCATCAGGTCCCTGCCAAAAGCCAACAATGTCGCCTCCGTCCTTCTGTACAGCCTCTGGTCAGAGAAGGACGTTCAGGGCTTCTTGAAGAAGGTAAGGCCCGTCTCAGCTGAGTTAATGCAACCCCAGCTAACAATTTCTCATTCTAGAAATGTTTACCAAACGTTATGATTAAGGTATGGAAACGTTCAAAGTGTCTGGTTTTCCTCATGTTCCCAGAACTTTATCCCACTACAACAACTAAAACTAATAATATAAAAGCATGAAAGTGCAGTTGGAAATACTGTAACCTTACACATTAAAGGTTAGGGTTCAGGGCTGAATGGGGCATTTGTGTTGTATACATGCAACACTTTTATGAAATAATATTTTATAATTAACAATAATATGTAATAATATTATTGTGCCAACATTGACAGAACGTTTTGTTAAAGTGTAAAAGGTGGAAATAACATTCCATAAACGTTCTTTGCCAGCTTTGAGACGACCTTCGTGTAATGTTGGTGTGACAATACTAAAGTTCTTGGTGTGACGTTATTAACGCTGGGACGATACTTTTGTTTGTAGCAGAGGGTTATCTGTGAGATAAACCAGTATACGGCAGAAGGACTGAACAGTTCCAGAGCAGCGTTAGCATTTAGTGGGGTGATGTGTGATCCTGCAGGTTAGGATGCTATGTCTGTGGTCCGAAGGTCGTTAGATCAAATCCCAGGGTTGTTAGACTGATTTTATCCTTGGGCCCTTAACCCCCAATTACTACAGAGATTTCCTGACCCTAAAAATATCACATTGCTTTGAATAAAAGTGTGTGTTAAATAGTTCTGATTCTTATCACATATTACGGATCAGGGTCAGGTAAGTGGGGTTTGCAGGTGTCTGTTTTTGTCTGAGTTTACCTGTGCAGTGCTGTACTGCCTTGACTCCACCCCACAGCCGCAGGGAAGAAAATCCAGAAAGGCCAGTTGGATTCGGCGACTGCTCTGCCTCATATAATCGCTTGGCGTGTCCCGGGCTGCCTGTCCTCTGGCATGTAAACTGGCAACTGACTCGACAAAAACTTATCGTGACAGCCCCTCTAATCACTGTCACTTTCCTCTCCATGGGGCGATGACTGATCCAGTGGGTTGGGAGGCTGTGTCTGTGATCGGAAGGTCAGCGGTTCTAATCCCAGGGTCAGCAGCGTTAATCTGCTACATAAAAATGGATAATGCCTCAGTCATCTATTAACTTAATTGGACTTTTCTTCAGTTTTAGATAAATGTTCCTTATCTTGCATAAGAAAAGCAGGAAGACTTCTTCTGGCATCCTAAAGATTCACGATTCACCCTGGTACACTGGTTCCTGGTAAAAACGGTGTAATATTTGAACAAGGTTTTAATAGGTACCTGTTTCAGGGGAAGCCCTTCACTACCCTGATATAACCAGCCAGGTTTGTCAGCCTCATGATGACTGACAAGTCTAATACCGATTTATCTTCTGCAGCAAGGAATGTCTAAGTCTTCTTTTGTGAATGACATCACCAGCCGCGCCCACAAGTCTGCTCAGGTCGTTGAATGAGGCGTCGCCCTGGACACCGCTTGTCGGACAGAGGTGATTTATTTGCTCTTTGTTTTGAGAAGATCACCAGATAATCTTTCGCATCACATTCCACAAACTGTCGAAATGAAGCGTATTATTTTCTCTGAGCGAGATCAAGTAATCGTGACTGCATTCTGCAGAGCTCAATCTAATTTCGCCGCATCCCTCTTGCAGGTGGGGGACACGCTTCTGTCTGCTGGCTCGGTCACCATTATGTTTGGTGATTTCACACAGTGCGGACATTGTCGTAAATTTAAATGTCTATTTTCTTAAGTGGAAAAGTGTTTTTAATCATTAAATTCAGTAGGTCTGGGAATTAAAAAAAAAAACAAAACATTTTTATGATATTCACAGGTGGAGCAAAAGCTTTTAAAACAAGTTGCCAGTGTTAATGCTACATGCGGTCACATTTTCTGGACATGTTGATGGATTTTTTTTTTTAAACACTTTGCTATGCCTGCTGTAAACGCATGTCTGCTGATTTCCTGTATTTGATTTGGTTTCTGATGTTAGCTGTAACTGTGTTTCTTGGTGTTCCTGTGTGTCTGGGTATGTCTTGATCTGAATGCCACTTCCACGATGCTGACTTTGGAGCTTGTGAAGCTGCCTGTTAAGTCATACTGCTGAGATATCACTCTGACACTCCATAAATCCAGTTGACTCATTTTTGAATATATTTTGAGTTCCAAGTAAACCGGTATAGAGAAATGGTCTATAAACCTTTCATAATTATCCTGCCACTTTTTTTTTTTTGCTAAAATAAAAAAACATTGTCACATGACTTTGGAAAATGGGATGGGGGGGGGGGGGGGGG